GCTCGGTCCCGTGGCTCGGCTTCTGCGCAGTGGGCGACCTTGTTCTCCCAGTAGGTCCTCCGATTCACAGCCACTCAATCCAGAAGAGTTTCCTCTGCAATATTTTCCTGGTTCTTTTTTCTGAGGCTACCGTAACTCCCCTTTTATTAAACTAAATTTTCCCAGATTATCAGTGTGCGCCCTCACTATTCCGCCATCTTGGCTCTGCCCCATGTCTCCAGAAGTTTTTTTTTTTTTCTTTTAAGACCTTGAATATATCATCCTGCTCTCTTCTTGCTTACAGGAAGAGAGAATCTGATGTTAATTTCATTGGTTTTCTTTTATATGTAACTTTTCTTCTCTTATTCTCTTTAGAATTCTCTCCATGTCTTTAATTTTTGACAATTTCATTACAAGATGTCTTGGATAAGGTCTTTTTTGGTTAAATTTGTGCAAGGTCCTTTGTACTTCTTGTATCTGGATATCCACATCTCTTTCATGAACTGAAACATTTTCAGCTATTATTTCAATTAGGAGGTTCTCAATGCTCCATTTCCTTTTCTTCTCCTTCAGAAATACCTATAATATGAATATTTGGTCATTATTGGTATCCCATATTTCACACAGAATTTCCTAGTTCTTTTAAATTCTTTTCTTTTTATTTTTGTCTGATTGGATAGTTTCAGAAGCCTTGTCCTCAAGGTCAGAAATTCTTTGCTCCTCTTGGTCTATTCTGCTGTTAAAGCTCTCAGTCATTCCCTTTACTTCACTAGAGATTTCATCTCCAAAACTTACTTGATTCTTGATGATTTCTATTTCCTCAGCAATATTTTCATTCATGTCCCTCACTTATTTCATTTCTTTGATCCATCTATATTCTCTTACATCACATTTAGTTTCCTTACAATTGTTATTTTAAATTCTCTATCTGGCATTTCATAGATTTCCTTCAGTTTAGGGATTTATTTGTTTTCTTTTGGAAGCATCATGCACCCTTGTTTCTTCATGTCTCTTGTGTTCCTACATTGATATCAGTGCATCTGGTGTGCTTATACTTTCTTCTTTGAGGAATAGATTTTATTGGGAAAGTGTTTATGGTTTGCCTGGAGTGCACAATGTCACTTGGTTGGTTGTCCTATCTTTGGTTCTAAGTGAGTCCAGAATGTGGCCTGTAAGTGATGTCTTTTGTCTTTGTGTCAGTTATATCTTCAACTGACATAGGATCTAGTCTGCTGCAGTTCATAGGGATGAAAGCATGGGTTAGAGAGGAATATTTTCAGTCCACAGAGAGTTCAGTGTCAGTCTCCCTTGGGATTGTGAAAGCCAGGCCTTGTTCCTGGTGCTTAAGGAGAAAGAGGTGGCTATCTTCTTGTCCCACTGGCATGTCTGAAAGCTCCAGTGGCTTGTGGAACCAACTGCTATGATTTTATGTCTGTGTGATATGAATGGGCTCTTTCTCAAGTCCTGCTGGGCAGTCCAACTGGTCTTGTGGCTTATAACAACAGCCCTAGTCTTGAGATGAGGGGATGTGAACTGAACCATGTTCCAGGCCTACGGGGTGAGTACAAGGTATACAGGAGGTTTGTGCTGGAGGGTATGAGTTCAGACAGATGGAATATGGGTAGGTTATTTCATAGCTCCAGTGAGTAGATTCCAGTGAAATTGAGAAGTTTAAAACTAAGTACAGTTACAGTCATGGAGCTGCAGAGTACAGTGTAGTCATTTCCCAGATCTCCCAGGGTGGAATTGTATTTTTAGGGGAGGTTTTTGGTGTTAGCATCGAGAAGCTAATGGCTCATGTGGAGTAAGCACAGCTCCAAAGCTAATGCCCCAAACTCCCACAGTTGCAGGATGTGGGGAATCTGTGCTTTGTCCCACAAGTTGCCCTGATTCTGACTCTGATTCTTACAGGAATGCAACAGAGGCCCCACTACATGTTTTTTCACTGCCAAGTTTGGTGCTCTGCCAGGATGGGGAGGGGAGAGAAGCAATGTAGCTTCCCCTTTCAAAGTTCTGCAGTTGCTCGGACACCAGTCAGCTCTCTAGGCTGAAGTAAAAGTTTCTGGGTGACTGTGAAATTCCCTCTCTGCTGAAACTGTCAGTGTTAGTAATTTCTTCCTGCTTTGTTATGATAAGATGGAGGAAGAGGTTCTTAATCCAGCAGCTGGCTGCACTGCATGACAGACAACAACTGAGTTTCTGCCTTCTTTCCTCTTGTCCCACAGAATCTTCATTGTTTTGTCACTGCTCAATCAAAAACTTCTGCCCCTGGAAACATAGTCTTTCCTTAGTTCCTCTCACATCCCAGAGCAGCTAAAGTCAGCATGGCTATACCCTATTTAACCATCTTGGATTTCCATCTGAATGGATTTCTGCCATGTTGTTTTGATTTACAGCTTTGGAGAAATATCCAACATTTCTAGCTGTTCAAAATTGCAAACTTAAACCACAATGAGATATTCTCTCCATGTTAGATTGGGTGTTATCAAAAAGATAAATGGTAACAGGTGTTGGTGAGAATGTGGAGAAAAACAAATCCTTGCACACACTTGGTGGTATTATATGTTAGGATAGCCATTTTGGAAAGTATGAATATTACTCAAAAAATTAAAGATAGAAACCCCATACAATCTAGCAATCCCACTACTGGCAACACTCAAAGGAAATGAAATACTGATGTCGAAGAAATATTTGCACTCCCACGCTCATTGCAGAATTATTCACAGCAGCTAGGAAGCATTGTACCTATCAGTGGTTGAAGGGATATTATAAGGATATATATATATAGTATAGTATATATGTACATGTGTATATATATGATACATACATATATATACATATATATATATATACATGTACATATATACTATTCAGCTTTTAAAATAAACAGAAAACTCTATTTGAGACAAATGAATGAACCTAAATGACACAAGGTTAAATGAAACAGATGAGGAATAGAGTGGCAAATGCCACCTTTCTCATTTATGTGAGAAATCTAGAAAATCCAAACTTATGAGGAGTACAGGCCAGACCAGGGGAAGTGATGAGGAGACATGAGTGTTTTGGTATCAAGTTACAGTTAGAGAGGAGGAAAAGGTTCTGGTGCTCTACCATGTGGCAAGTTGGTTATGGTTAACAGTAATGAATTGTTTACTTCAAAATATCCAGAAGAAAGGATTTCAAATGTTCCCACCACCAGGAAATAAAGGATACATACCTGAGGTAACAGATATGGTAACTACACTGACTCAAGCATTCCATATGTACATATGTATTGAAACATCAATCATACTTCATAAAAATCTAAAATTATAATTTTAATTAAAAATAAAACATTTTAGAAAGAGAGACTATTATTTTTTACAGCAGGGAGAAAGGAATGCCTGGGACTAGGGTGTTAGGGAGATGGAGCTAGGTAAGACATGAAGCAGAATTTATTCCACAAGTGGAAATTCCACAGGCTGACTTTAGCTCACTATACAGAAGTATTTTCCAACAAGTAGCACTATGCCAAAATGCAACAGGCTGTCCTTCAAAGCAGTGCACTCTGTTTCATTGGAAAGATTCTAGAGTCTCTAGGTGATCATACATGAAGGATGGATGCACACATAGAGGAACAGGACTAGATGGTGTCTAGGAAAATCTGATCTCTGGTATTCTTAGCTAAAATCAACATAAATGTCATGTGGCCTGAACAACTCAATGCATAACACCTCAGAAAGAGAGATTGGGTGTGTGTATGCAACTGTATTATCTTCTCTCTCAGTTTTCTTTTATATTCAAGTTATTTCTTACAGAGAAGTATATTGATAGGTTGCTTACATCTTGTCATCCAGGTGGTGAGAAAATAATGCTTTACATCTGTTTCTCATAAAGAAGTAGTATTTATTCAAGAACCAGTTAAGTATCATTTATCAAAAAATGCTTAGGACAAAAAAGTGTTTTTATTTGGGAATTGTTTTGGCTTTAGAATATTTGGGAATTCTTCTCTAGAAAATTATCTTTGATTTGCTCTGGAAAATAGCTGTAAGGGATAGTAGGTTTAATTGGGTTTCATTTGATCATCTTGTTTTGAAATCCGAGAATTTTTTAATCTAATTGATCGTAAAATTTGGTAAATAAGAAGCTAATGCTTGTTTCATGATTGAAGATCTAAGAGATAACTGCTCCCATTCCTTCTCTCAAATTTAAGTCAGAGCAGAAAGATATAGAATTCTCAAGAGCCCCAGAAACTGTTGGTAGTGTAAGGATACAAAAATATCAGGAACTCCATTATTGGCACTCATTGATATTGACACAATGTCCAGAACATTCACCAACCTCTACCACCTGATCTTCAAGTGTTAACTTACTCTGTAAAAGTGTATTTGTATAACTGTGGCTTTCAAATAAATAAATTTTTAGTAAAATGTATTTGCATGCACAATTTTATTTTTATTTTGATTTTATCTAAATTTTAAGTAAGTTTTATTTTGATTGACAGTAATTATATATTAGTGGATATGATGAGTTTTATTTTTCATTTTTCCATTTTTATCATTACAGAAAGGACATAAATTTCATGTGCTTCATGTCTACAAATTCAGGAGCAGAGTAATACTTCCAACCATACTCTCCCTCCTGCACACACTCCCACTCTCCCTCCTCCTTTAGTCTTTATTTGTCTTTTAATTTTTATCATGACATATTTTCAGTTTATTTTATAATCATAAGATTAACCCTCCACTAAGTAAAAAATTCAACAAACAGTAAGAAGAAATAAACACTGTCTGTCAATATAGAAACAAGGGCTGTAAACAATCATCAAATTTTGCTCATTAGACAATGTATTTTGGGTACTTGTATTAGCTACCACAGATCAGGGAAAACATATGGTGTTTTCTTCTTTGGACTGGCTTATTTCACTATGTATAATGGTTTCCAGTTGCACTGATTTCATTGTAAAAGTCAGAATTTCATCCTTTTTTTACAGCTGAGTAGCATTTCATAGTGTGTACATATAATACATTCTCTTTATCCAGGTTGTTGGACATCTGGGTTGATTCCACATCTTAGCTACTATGAACTGAGCTGCAATAAACATGGAGGTAAAGGTAACATTTTTATATGCTGATTTTGTTTCATTTTGGTAAATTCCCAGGAGTGGGATGGCTAGATCTTATTGTATATCTATTTTCAGCTTTCTGAGGAATCTCCATACTGTCTTCCACAATGGCTGTGTTAGTTTGCATTCTCACCAACAGTTGATTAGGGTACTTTTCACCCCACATCCTCACTAGCATTTGTTAGTTTTTGATTGTTGTATGGGAGCCATTCTAACTGGGGTGAGGTGAAAACTAATTGTGCTTATATTTTCATTCCCTTGATGGGTGGCATGCACAATTTTAATAACAAAAGAAAGATGAGCTTGAATTTTTGAAAGGATATTTCAGACTCACAACCTTTCTAAAAAGTAGTTTTAAAGAAGTTCCCATTTATGTCCAGAGATAGTGAAAGTAGCTGTATTCTGAGGTCTGCCACTAAGTTGCTCAAAGACCTAGCTGCTCCCAACAACAAATGAAACACTCCAATATGCTAAGGAGACATGGCATATAATCATATGTGGGTGCTGGATTTTTCTTTTTTTTTTCTTTTTTTTTATTTGACAGGTAGAGTCATAGAGAGAGAGACAGAAAGGTCTTCTGTTAGTTCACTCCCCAAATGGCCGCCATGGCAGGTACTGCACTGATCTGAAGCCAGGAGCCAGGTGCTTTCTCCTGGTCTCCCATGCAGGTGCAGGGGCCTAAGTACTTGGGCTATCCTCCACTGCCCTCCCGGGCCACAGCAGAGAGCTGAACTGGAAGAGGAGCAACTGGGACTAGAACTTGGTGCCCACATGGGATGGTGGTGCCACACGTGGAGGATTAACCAAGTGAGCCATGGCACTGGCCCCGAATTTTCAATTATTATGTTCCAAATGGGAGTTTAGAAGATACTCATGGCTGCAACCCTAGAACCTCGCATAGTTTTAGGCATATAGTTGACACAGAATATTTGATTGGTGAATACCTGATGGCTATTTAAAAATAAAATCCAGCATTTATACAGGTATCCATACTTTTTAATCAAGCATCTACACATATATTTTTGAAAGACTGGACCAGGAGACAAGGCAATGAAAACCAAAGAGGAAAATTCTCCAAACAAGACATTAAGACTAGAGTGGAACCCCTTTGGTAGGGAGGTTCTGGCATGGGATTATATGGCCTTACAGAGCCTGTGAAGTCTCCATGCTAATACCTCTCTATACTAGTTGTCAAGTGTCATGTTGACTTATCAAAACTGGAGAATTTGAGGAGAAATGGGATACTGCAGTCAACAGGAAATAACTTGAGAACAGTGTTCTTTATTAATTGGGGGGGGGGGGTTCTGTGGCACAATGAGTTAAAGCCGGAGCCTGCAGTGCCGGCATGCCAAATGGGCACCAATTGGAGTACCAGCTACTCCGCTTCTTTTCTGGCTCTCTGCTATGGCCTGGGAAAACAGTAGAGGATAGCCCAAGTCCTTGGGCCCCTGCACCCAACTGGGAGATCCAGAAGAAGCTCCTGGCTCCTGGCCTCAGATAAACTCAGCTCTGGCTGTTGCAGTCATTGGGGGAGTGAACAAGTGGAATGGAGGACCTCTGTCTTTCTGGCTCTACCTCTCTCTGTAATTGTCTTTCAAATAAATAAAATGATTCTCAAAAAAAAAAAAATGCTGAGGTATGGAATGTCAGATCAATTGCCTTTCAAGGCTTCTGCAGAATCTATCACTTTATAAAGGCCTGGCCAATAGAAGGGACTTTCACTGGAGCAATGTGACCCTTTAAGGTACAAGTTCCTGCTGACTAGCTAAGAATGACAAAATTAGCTGACAAAATGCACAAAAAGGCATGGGTCAGGGCTGGTGCTATGGCTTAATCTGTAAAGTCACCACCTGCTGTGCTGGCATCCCATGTGGGTGCCAGTTCAAGTCCCAGCTCCTCCTCTTCCAATAAAGCTCTCTGCTTTTGCCTGGGAAGGCAGAGGAAGATGGTCCAAGTCCTTGGGCCCCTGCATCCACACAGGAAGACCTGGAGGAAGTTCCTGGTTTCTGGCTTTGGATCAATGCAGCTCCAGCCATTGTGGCCAGCTGGGGAGGGAACCATAGGATGGAAAACTTCTCTCTTTCCTCTGCCTCTCCTCTCTCTGTGTAACTCTGACAGTCAAATAAATAAATAAATATTTAAGAAAAAGAAGGCATAGATCAGGACCAAGATCAGGAACATTCATTCACTTATCAGAATCAGAGGCTAATTCAAAGCAGGGATGGACTTCAGACCCAGGATAGGCCAGCTCATGAGGCCCAGGACCACCCATGTTTGCCACCTCAGCACCCATGTTTGCCATCTCAGCCATAGCTCCATAAACTACTCCAGCATGACAAATGACACAGACTTTGCAGATTCTTGAAGTTGCAAGTTCTGGCCTAGAGCTGAGCACTCTAGGGTTATCCCTCTTCACACCAGCAGGATTAGAGCAACTGCTAATAAACATGTGTTTGTCTGAAGAAGTAATCAACTTGACCAAGGGAGATTTCAAAAAACAGAAAAAAATTCAAACTCACAGTGAGTCAAGGATCTAAATCTGAGACCCAAAACAATCAAATTACCAGAGGAAAAGTTATGGGAAACACTGAACGACAATAACATCTGTAAAGACTTCTTGAACAAGATCCTATAATCATGGGCAGTAATGCAAAAATACACAAATGGGGTTACATCAAGCTAAGAAACTTCTGAACAGCAAAGGCAGCACTCAACAAAGTAAAGAGGCAACCAACAGAATTGGAGAAAATATTTGTTAACTATATATCTGATATCTGATAAAAGGCAAATATCCATAATATATAAGGAGCTTAAAAATCAGCAACTAAACAAATCATCCAGTTAAGAAATGGGATAAGGATATGAACAGGCATTTTTCAAATGGTGAAATACAAATGGCCCACAGGCATAAGGAAAGATGTTCAGGATCACTAGGCATCAGGGAAATGCAAGTAAAAGCTACAATCATGTTTCACTATACCCCAAAAGAAATTCTGGTATGGAGCTGGCTGGCAAGAGTGTCCAGGGCCACAAACAACCACAGAGGACTGTGCCCCAAAGGAGAACCCTGGGCTTCAGAATGCCACACCATCCAAATCTGTCAGGAATATTAGCAACCAAGTGCATTTGTTGAGGGACAAAGGCTCAGTGCCCACTTTGTCCTCTGTCTGCAGCACTCCAAGCACCACTTGAGAGCTTCCCAGGCCACTTACATGAGACCATAGGAAAGGCTTCCAAGTGCAAAAGTATCTCAGATGATCTGCAGAAAACCCGAGGATTCCCATCTGTTGCCTCTTAAATTAGTAAATCTGTTATGATGTAGTTTAGGTACAATCAGAACAACACAAATAGTGAGATTAATTTTATAGCTGTTTTAGGATTATTTCTTTCACTTTAAAGTTAAATGCAAATAGCATGGCCATCAATAAGTCTCTGCCCTGGTTTCTGTGAGCAGACCAAGTAATGTCAGGATTATATCCACAGAGAGCCCGCTGATGCAGAACAAGGTTTCTGAGCATGCTTTCAGTTGTGCTCGAAAGACGTTCAGATGAGGAAACCTCCTTAGGACTTGACCCATCAGTGTCCTGTGTACACAGTAACAGCTGAGGAAGACAGAAAAATGCCATGTGGTGTTTTCCGCTTGTGTCCAGCCCCCATCCTAAAGGGCTACAGTCCCCAAGACCAGGTCTGGTCATACTGCAGAAATGGGTATTTATGGAGTATGTTCTGCTGGACTTTAAGTCTTGTTTAGTGCAGGATAGGCCATAATCATTTCTGCCATTATCTTGGGTGGAATTGTGGTCCGCAGCAAAGTTTGATTTCCTTACTCACACTCCTTCCTTCTACCTGCATGCAGTTTGATGGTGACCCGTCAACAGGAGCTGCAATAAGAAACTTAATTTTGGGATCATCATCCCTAGCTGAGAACTTTAGCCATGTGGCCCTAAATGAAAACAGATTGAGTCCATTGGGTGTAGCATGGTACTGAGAAGCAAATCAAGAGATTCCCTTACAGAAATCTCTCCTGTCTTAGGAATTGTGGTATCTTTTACACTGATGATTTATTATTTATTTATTTATTTAAAGAGACCCAGTTTATTTTGGTTTCCTAGTCCTCTTCAGGGCTGAGACATCCCCCTGCGGGGATGTGCGTTCATTGAAAAGAGGGCTCTGGAGATCTGATCCAACTGTGGGTTGCAAGAGAGAAGGACAAGAGTCAGAGCCCCAGAATGGCTCAGACTCGGGGGTGGAGAGACTCCAGAGCTGGTACAGACTCCAACAGTGACCACAGCGGCAGGATTCTGAGACATGGGCCTGCACAGCACTCTGCAGGGGCACTGCAAGGAGGGCATCAGCAGACCTCGCCATGGCGCAAATCTGGTGAGCACTGGGCCTGCACTGCCTCCCAGATAGCATGGCAGCATCAGCCACACTCAGCATTTCACATGGCCAGGCATCTCCTGGGATGCCAAGGGCTACAGGACAGTCCTGGTTATAGCACTGCCACCAGCTGCAGGTGCAGAATGTCGGCAGCCTAGGTGGCCTGGCTGAAAAAGACTGGAAGGAGTGTGGAATCCCAAAGGCCACACATGCAGAGACATGCTGGGTGGGAGTGGCAGCGGTCACAGTAGAGGCCTCCAGTGGCCGGAGCCTGCTGTCCAGACCCAGGCCTGTGTATGCTGGAGACTCAATAGCACGTGGTCCTGTTAATGCCTGAGGCAGGTGGTGGTCTCGGCACAAGACAGTAGCCCTCAGTGAACAATAGGTGGTAGGCAATGGTGGCGGCCAGAGGGTCAGTGGGGTAAATCCCCAGCCTTGGCCAGATGCTCTTCTGCAAAGCAGGACTCAGGTCCGTGCAGTTCCTGTAGTTCAGGCATGCCAAAGGAAAGCAGAATCCAACCCAATTCATGCTCCTGTGGGACCCAGAACACACTGAGCTCCGCCCTCCTGTGAACCCCACAGCCACAGCTCTCTAAGGTTTTTCCCTCTGTTGTTCATGGCTAACTTTTTTTTTAAATATTTATTTATTTATTTGAAAGAGTTACACAGACATAGGAGAGGCAGAGAGAGAGAGAGAGAGAGAGAGAGAGTGAAAGAAAGAGGTCTTCCATCGCTGATTCACTCCCCAATTGGCAGCAACACCTGGAGCTGGGCTGATCCAAAGCCAGGAGCCAGGAGTTTCTTCTGGGTCTCCCATGTGGGTACAGGGACCCAAGGACTTGGGCCATCTTCTACTGCTTTCCCAGGCCATAGAAGAGAGTTGGATTGGAAGTGGAGCAGCCCGGACAGGAACCGGCCTCATATGGGATGCCAGCACTTCAGGCCAGGGTGTTAACCCCTTGCACCACAACGCTAGCCCCATGGCTTTCATTTAAAAGTTCATTTAAGTGTAAAAGACTGGTGCTTTAGTGTAGTAGGTTAAGCCTCTGCTTAGAGCACCAGCATCCCAAGTAGGCACCACTTCGAGTCCTGTCTCTCCCTCTCCCTCTCTCTGTAACTCTGCTTCCCAAATAAATAAATGTCTTTTTAAAAAGGAGGTTCAACTCTATTCTGGACAGAGTAAGGACAGCTCATGTCTGGCCTTATCTATCTATCTATCTATCTATCTATTTTTTGCTTTTGAGGCAGAGCCAGTCAAGGGTTCAGCTGAGGCTCCTGGGAACAAGAAAGGGCTTCCAGTGAGGGTGGTGCTGGGGCAGTGTTTGGCAGATGGTAGGCACTACATGCTTCAAATGCTGGCCCAAGGCCTGCTCACCAAGTAATGAAATTACTGTGGGAAATCTTTACATCGCACTTTGATATGGCCTGAAATGGTCTATCAGCTGAAGTAGTTTACCTGAGGAAGGGGAAATGTGTATGTATTTGGAAAGTTAATTTGCTGGACAGCTTAGCCTCATCACCAGCACAAGTTCTTAGGGACACTCAGGGCTTGCACCAACAGTCCCTGAGTCAGCAACACCACCATCTATTGACTCAAATGCAAATTGGATACTGGAATTGGAAGGCAACTTACTTATGTCACAGAAACAGTACTATGAATGATGATCTGGGCCTTGTTTTAACACCAAATCCACCTGAGTTAGTGGACAACCATGCTGAGAACACCAGAAATGCCCTATTTACACAGGGACATTTGTCCCTAACCCACCCCAAGTTCACATGCTCCCCTATGCATTTATTCACTGAACAGTCATGCGATCTCTCTATCACTCTGCAAATCTCCATGTCCACTTGCTCACTCAGCCATTCTCAGCCTGGGTTAGGATGGTACCAGATTAAACCAAGGTGCATGGACAGGTACAAGGGCACTTTTAAAGTGCATGGAGGGCGGCATTGTTGTTAAGCTGCCACCTGCAATGCAAGTATCCTATATAGGTGCTGGTTTGATTTCCAGCTGCTTTACCTCCATGTCAGCTCTCTGCCAATGCAACTGGGAAAGTAGCAGAAGATGGCCGAAGTCCTTGGGCCTCTGAACACATTGGAGTTGCCTGAAACATTAATAATTTCAATCAACTATTACTTTTGAGAAATAATCCTTCACTTGGTTTAAGAGATGCCAAAGTTCTTGGTTCCCACCTACATTTTCTAAATACTTTTATTCAACTTCTATTCCTGGATCTTTGTTTGTTTGTTTTCTCCACTCTTAACATTACAGCATCTTCCAGGCTCTGAGTTTGTGTTTGTAATGCTACTTTCTGCTGGAGCTTCCATTTCTATTGATAAGCCAATAACTTCCAAACCCATATCTTCAGCTGAATACTTCCCACAAGTTCATAATTTCCCTTGTTCCTCCCCTAAACTTACTCCTGTGCCATTACGTACTATCTCAATACTATCTCAATAAATGACATCATCATCTCTATTCAGCTGCTCCAGTTGGAAAATTTTTAAAGTTGTTTCTGATTCTTTTTTAAAGATTTATTTATTTATTTGAGACATAGAGTTACAGAGAGAGAGAGGGAGAGAAAGAGAAAGGTCCTCCATCCACTGCTTCACTCACCAAATGGCTGTAATGGTCAGAGCTGAGCTGATGCAAAGCCAGGAGCCAGGAGCCTCATTCAGGCCTCCCAAGCAGGGGCGGGGGCCCAAGCACTTGGACCATCCTCCAATTGCTTTCCCAGGACACAAGCAGAAAGCTATATTGGAAGGGGAGCAGCATAAACTGGCACCCTTCTGGAATATCTGAGCTCACAGGCAGAGGCCCAGCCTACTATTCTTTTTATGTGATTAAACTTATTAATTTATAATAGGAAATAGGTGCACAGTCAAATCTACTGAAATCTGCACATTTTCTCACCTAAAGATATCTAACAGTAGGCCAATTTATTTGTTTTTATCATTATACACTTAAAAACCTAGTCCTATTGATTTAATGTTAAATATCTTCCATATCTGCCTATTTCTCACATCCCCCTACTTTCACCTTAACCCAAAGCACAATTATTTTTCATTTAGGCTCCTGTAGAGGCCTCCAATCTAGCCAGTTATCAACATTCCCATTTTTATGTAGCATTCCCAAATCTATTCATTTTACAAGCAAAAAGATCTTTCTAAAATATAAATTTGATCATGTTACTACCCTAGCCCATTACCTATGGCTATGTAAAACTTTTCACTTAGGCTCATTTTTTAGAGTAATATTTTAAACACCAAAGAATCTTATAGAGCCCACATTCCTTCATACTTAAAGCATATTTTCCATTCTGCTTAATATTCTCCAGTGTTTCTCCATGTGGCATCAGCTCTCCAGTTCCTTGCATTGACATGTAACTCTTCCGTTATCTATATATTTTTCTTTCCCCTGAAATTCAATGATGTTCATCATATCTTTAAAATATCAGTCATGGGAGGGCAGTGCTGTGACTGTAGCAGGTTAAGTTGCCATCTGTACTTCTGGCATCCAATCTGGGGGCCAGTTTGACTCCTGGCTGCTCCACTTCTTTTTTTTTTTTTAAAGATTTATTTATTTATTTGAAAGTCAAATTACACAGAGAGAGGAGAGGCAGAAAGAGAGAGAAAGGTCTTCCATCCATTGATTCACTCCCCAATTGGCTGCAACAGCATTAGCTGCACCGATCTGAAGCTAGGAGTCAGGAGCTTCTTCCAGGTCTCCCACATGAATGCAGGGGCCCAAGTATTGGGCCATGTTTTACTGCTTTCCAAGCCATAGCAAAGAGCTGAATTGGAAGTGGAGCAGCTGGGTTTCAAACCAGTTCCCATATGGGATGCCGGCACTTCAGGCTGGGGTGTTAACCCACTGTGCCACAGTGACAGCCCCAGGCTGCTCCACTTCTGATCTAGTTTCCTATTAATGCATCTGAGGAAACAGTGGAAGATGGCCCAAGTGTTTGGGCCACTGAACCCCCTTGGGAGACCTGGGTAAAGCTCCTGATCCATGGCCTCAGTATAGTCCAGTCCCAACTATTGCAGCCATTTGGGGAGTGAACCAGCAGATGGAAAATCTCTCTCTCTCTCCATATATATATATATATATATATATATCCCTCTTTCCATAATTCTGATTGCCTTTCAAATAAATAAAATAAATCTTTTAAAAAATAAAGCATCAGTCATTCACAATTGACTGTAAACACTAGGAAAATCTGAGTTATCACTTTCACTATTGTAGCCCCATGTCTTAGAAAAATGCCTGACAATAGTAGATGCTTAAAACACATTTATTAATTTGAACCTAGAGGGAAACTACTGTGAGTGCTTGATCTGAAGAAAAACAAAGAAAGTGAAGAAATATAAGTTCTAACATAAATTTATCCCCTGAACCTATAGTTTTTGTCACTCAAACTGTATCAAATTGACTCTCATTCTTTGCAATTTCTTTTTTCAGAAAAATGATTTATTTATTTTGACAATAAGAGTTACAGAGAGAGAGGGAGAGACAGAGAGGTCTTCCATCTACTGGTTCACTCTCCAGATGGCCACAATGGCCAGCACTGGGTTAGTCCAAAGACAGGAGCCAGGAGCTTCATCCAGGTCTCCCACATGGATGACATGGGCCCAAATTCTTAGGCCATGTTCTGTTGCTTTCTAGGCTATAAGCAGAAATCAGGATCATGAGTCAAGCAGCTTGGACATTAACTGGTGCCCATATTGTATGCTGTCATCACAGGAGGCAGCAAGTGACAATGCAGCCATTTGTGTGGGCCTTGCTTCTATATAACATGTAATTCACTCCAGTAGCCAAGATTCTTTGGATGCATGCATTTTAATAATTTTGGTCTCATAATTCCTATCTACACTAACACAGAAGCACATTTAGGAAAATTCATCCAGCAGAAAAAAGATCAACAGCTTATTGAACTCGTCAAGAATGAACCATCAATAAGGGCAATTCATGACATTAAAGCCACAGGTTTGAGGTTAGGTAAAATGAGGTTTAAGGTAGA